GAGTCCTGGAAATGGGAATCAATGCCTGCACTTTAAAGGGGGGGTTTGGGGGTATTGGCAGTTTTTGGGGGGAAAAGTTTTTGTTCTTTTATATTGTATGCTTCTAAACTGTTGTATTCTGAGCACCTCTGCAAAAACAGTGATAATGTGCGAGTGTGGTGAAAGTGTTGAATGATGAAAGTATTTTCTTTTTGGGGATTTTCTTTCTCTTTTTTGGGTCACCCTGCCTCAGTGGGAGACAGCCGACTTGTTGGAAAAAAAAAAAATTAATATTATTATTAATTTAGGGCACTGGAGCACAGATCCACTGTATAGCACTTTGTCTGGATTTTGTGGGTTATCCTAGGTAATTTATATTATGTATGATAACTTGACTTATGTGTACCAGTGTTCATGCCCAGCACATTGATGTTGCCACCCCTACACATCTTGAAATGATGTTTTTCAAGCTCTGTATAAACACTAGTACCTCTGTACTAGCATGTGCAATGTACAGACCTCAGTGGCGACATGCAGACCCTATCAACTTCCTAATGGAAAATATTGACTCCCTTCTGCTACAACACAACTGTCAACATATTATAATTGTTGGTGACCTCAACCAGCACCTTATACAGAGGGACTTTGATGACCTTCTTGCAGTGTTTGACATGAGAAACTTTGTTGATTTCCTACTCATATCTCTGGCTCCTCCCTTGACCCAGTAGTGAGTGATCTGGCAGAAGGCATAGTCACTTGTCAACCCCTCGGCTACGTTGGATCCTCTGACCACAAGGCTGTTTTTACGACACTTAAGATCCCAACAGAACGTGGTGAGGAGTCCACACGCACAACCTGGCTATGGGAAAGAGGTAATTGGCCAGCCCTTTGCTCTGAGCTCGCCACCACCGACTGGAATGCTCTTCTCCAAGGGGATGTTGACAACCAAGTGAAAGCCTTCACTGGACACATCCTTAATCTACAACAAGAACACATTCCTCACCGGCAATATGTGACGAAGCCTACAGATCAGCCTTGGTTTGGCTTTCGTTGTAGAGAGGCTGCTACTGCTAAGTACAAAGCATGGCGGAGGTATAAGAGACATCCTACCACCTATAACAGGAACTTGCACATGCAAGCCTGTAGGCATATGGGTGATGTTCAAAAGTGGGCCATTGCTAAAGGGGAGGTGGACACTAAAAGAAAGTTAGCATCAGGTAGGGTAGGCTCCAAAACCTGGTGGTCCCTGGTCAAGGACAGACAAGGTTATCTGCCTGATGAACTTATTCCACCTCTAAATCGACAGGATGGGACCACCTCTACTAGTAGTCAAGAGAAGGCAGACCTCTTTGCTGAACACTTTGCTACCAAAATGCAAGTTCCTGATCCAGCAAGGGACCCTCCTTGCTAGCTGCAAGAACTGTGTCAAAAACTGTCAGTGGTGACAATAAGGCAGGAGGAGGTGCATTTCCTACTTAAATCGCATGACCAAGAAAAGGCTGTGGGCCCAGACAAGTTGAGCCCAAGATTGTTGAGAAGATGTGCAGACCAGCTAGCAGCACCTCTAACTCGCATCTTTCAGCACTGCCTAGTACAGTGTAAATGGCCCTCTCTATGGAAAGAGGCAAATGTAGTCCCTGTTCACAAAAAGAAGAGCAGAGCAGAAATCAGCAACTACAGACCAGTGTCACTCCTGTCAATCACTGGTAAGATCCTTGAGACAATAATCTCAAGACAAATGACAGAGTTTTTTGACTACCACTCACTACCTTGTGATCGTCAATACGGCTTCAGGAAAGGTTACTCTGCTGCTGATCTGTTGTTAAACCTCTCCACTAAGTTGCACCAGTCACTGGATGAATCCAAAGTCAGCTGTGTGGTAGCACTGGACATTGCTGGCGCTTTCGACCGGGTGTGGCACCAGGGCCTCTTAGCAAAACTTCAAGCACTGGGAACTGCAGGCTCTACGCTATGTCTCCTCAGTGATTACCTTCATGGTAGATCTCTAAGTGTAGTTCTCAATGGAACGGAATCAGCAAGACATCCTATTGGGGCAAGTGTTCCACAAGGAAGCGTGCTGGGTCCATTGTTATGGAATGTCTACTTCAACGACCTCCTTCATCTCATCCCAGAATCACATGCATATGCAGATGACTGTACACTGACATTCACTTATCCAAGAGAAGAAATGCCAGCTGCTCTAAGCTACATCAATCACCAGCCTGAGAGCTATATCAGCTTGGGGAAATAGATGGCAAGTAACATTTGCACCTGAGAAAACGCAAATGATGATCGTCTCTAGGCACCATGATGGTAATGCTGGTGCAGTAGTAAGGATGAATGGGAGGATGTTGGCACCTGGAGAAGAAGTTGATATCCTTGGGGTGAAATTTGACTCCAAACTAACCATGAAGAACCATGTTGTAAATCTTGCAAACAAGGCAGCCAGGAAGCTTACAGCACTTCGCCGTATCTCCCATCTGCTTGACAGTAGGGGTTGCAAGATCCTGTACGAGACACAAGTACGCTCGCACCTTGAGTATGCTCCACTTTCTTGGTTTGCCTGCCCCCCCTCTCATCTGCGACTGCTTGACAGAGTAGAGAACAGAGCAAGACGTCTCATCTCTCGCCTGGACCCATCCTGGATAGATCTGTCATTTCAGCAGAGCCTTCAACATAGGAGGGATGTGGGTGGCCTTACTGTTATGTACAAGGCCAATATTGTCAAAATACCACACTTGGATCCACTTCGAGGACAGCGTGAAACAAGCTTTTATGCCACAAGACGGGCAGAAAGCAGCAACTTCACTCTGGCTGTACCCTTCTCCAGAACATCACTCCATCTGAGATCATACATACCCAGGATGACTCGAGTATGGAACACATTCGTACAGCATAATGATGTCAACGAGATAAAGTCAGTTGATCAAATGAAAATGCTGGCCCACAGATGGCTCCAACTTCATCCTGTTTCCTACTTGTATGTAATAAAAATGCTTTCAAATGAGCTGATGTAGGTAACAGCTCTTAGCTTGCCAATAAAGTTAGGAATCCTTAACCTGTAAATAGCTGTCAATAAAGCTAGGGATCCTTAACCTGTCAAACCCTGTGTAAAAAAAAAAAAAAAAAAAAAAAAAAGAGAGAGAGAGACACACACACAGAGATACAGAGAGAGAGATACAGAGAGAGAGATACAGAGAGAGAGATACAGAGAGAGAGATACAAAGAGACAGCCACATTCGGTCAGCCAGTCAGCCAACTACCCACCCACCCACCCACCCATCAAGCCACCCATCCAGCCACCCACCCACCCAACCACAGACCCGGCCACGCAGCCAGCCAGCCAGCCAGCCGAATACGTATTACACATGTTCCAGAGTTGATTCTCTTTACTTAGGGTACAGGTTATACAACATTCTGGCAGGATGACACTACCAGTGGTATTCTCCCATTCCACTGTGTCGAAAATACATAAAGATAATAGTAACATATAATACTTTATGCGATGTAAAATTTACAATACATATCACTACCATGTATACATTATATACAGTACATAAATAATTAAAATACAACAATAGAAGTAAATTATGGTAAAAAGAATGAAATAATGATTGTACATTACATTACAGTATTATGTAGGTAGTTTATATGGGAAAGTTTTGACATTATGCCTTACCCAACATGTCGGCAATTTTCAAAGGTTCGACTTACGTCCATTTCGACTTATGACCGGTTGATCGGAACCAAGCCTGGTCGTAAGTCGGATGGTAGGTGTATTTTATTTTTGGGGATTTTCTTTCTTTTTGGGTCACCCTGCCTTGGTGGTAGATGGCCGACTTGTTGAGAAAAAAAAAAAATTTTTAGTAATAACTACTTTATTGTTTGTTTGTTTGTATTTTGGTATTTCATTTTTTACTTTACTTTTTATGCTGTTAGTACTGTATTTTATACTGTAAGGTTTAGGATAAACACTGTGTACAACACAAGCAGTTGTTTATTTCCCAGAAATTTGGCATACAAAACACGGTCGTAAGTCAAATGGTTGTATGTCGAGCAGGTCGTAAGTCATATGGTAGGTGTATTGGTAATCCCCATTATGTATGACAGGAGGCTGTTGAACAGCTTGGGTCCCAGATACTTGGTGTTTTCTCTTAGTGTACTTGTGGTGCCCCTGCTTTTTATTCGGGGGGATGTTGCACCATCTGCAACATTTGGGACCAGACCCTCTAGGATGTTTCAGATGTAGATTATGATGCATTTTTCTCCCCTGAATTTCAGAGAGTACAAGTCAAGGGACTACAAACATTCTCAGTAATTAAGGTACTTCACTGAACTTATACGTACAGTGAAGGTTCTCTGTACATTCTCTAGATCTGCAACTTCGCCTGCCTCAAATGGGGCTGTTAGTGTACAGCAGTATTCCAGCCTAGACAGATACTCAAGATACTTGTCCAGTTTCCCCTTGAAGATTTATACAATTGTCCTAACAGTGTTTCTAATATCTTCTGGCAAAATACTGAATAGTCTGGAACCATGGATGTTGATACAATGTTCTCTTATTGTGCCCACGGCACCCCTGCTTTCCACTGGGTTTATTTTGAACTTCTTCACAGATCTATCATTCAAGTATGTTACAGCAGTGTATAGATTTTGGACTAGACCCTCAAATACTTTCCACGTACATATTATCATCTGTCTCTCCTCCACTCTACCGAGTACATATTTAGGATGTTGAGGTGTTTCCAGTAAATTAAATTGTTTATTGGAGGCAAGTACACTCTGGAAGCAAGAACACCCTGGAGGCAACAGGCTGTAGAGTTGAGAGGTTGGACCAAGAGCAAGGAGTCAACCTGTGCAGGCATTACCATCACCAAGATAAAGACAAGAAAGACCAGATGATCAGATGGTCCACTATTTATCAAATTATTCCTTTAACCACAAATATGTAATTACAGTGCACAAATAGATAGTCAGATACAAGAAGTGATTAACTAAAGAGAGCCATATAAAAACTTCACCTTGGTTTCATACACGAAGCTGGTCTCTTCAGTATTTACAGCTGCTGGGTTTTCCACAGTAACTATTGTATGTTCATCTCCTTCTGGTTCTTTGATAGCCTGCAAAGAAGTTACATATCATTAGTATATATATGGTAGCATACAAATATATATGTATATACAGGAGGGCCCCATTTTATGGCATTTCACTAATACAGGCATTTCAAATTATGACCAAAACTCCTTGTATGGCTTCCCCCCAACCTGACTCACTAATGAGGTCACCACTTGCCACTCTGTTTTTTGACATCTTCAGTGAGCTAAGCATCTCTCCATTATGTCTGGAAACTTTCCAAAATTTCAAGTGTTTTAAAGTTATTGCATATTTTATGTATACTCTTGATAATTATACTTATGTGTACCCGTACCTAAATAAACTTACCCACTGTGCTGACATGACGGTATATGTTAAAATTGCTATGAGTGTCTCACTAGCCCTGTAGATGCCATATTATTATTATTATTAATTAGAATAATCATTATGAGGCGATATAAATGTCGTATATTATGTTAATATAGACATTTTCATTAATCCATCTATTATATTTTTTTCAAAATCATAGAAGAAAAAGGTTAAATAACATAATACATACACCCACAGTAGAAAAAACTGACATAAATATGAGATGTGGTAGTCAGTCAGCTTGTTATGAGTGACAGCCAAAATTACGCTTTCTCTAGTCTAACACCGGAATGATGAAATAAAGGGTATGATAAAAGAGAAAATGGTAGCTTATGAGAGGTTTTTACAAAGCAGAAGTGTTATTAGAAGAGCAGAGTATATAGAAAGTAAAAGAAAGGTGAAGAGAGTGATGAGAGTGTGCAAAAGGAGAGCAGATGAATAGAGTGGGAGAGGCACTGTCAAGAAATTTTGCCGAAAATAAGAATAAATTTTGGAGCGAAATAAACAAGTTGAGAAAGCCTAGGGAACGACTGGATTTGTCATTTAAAAATAGAGCAGCGGAGTTAGTTGATGGGGAACTGGAGGTATTGGGTAGATACTTGGAGAAGGCTTCGGGGGTCAACAGCCCCGCAGCCTGGTCTGAGACCAGATCTCGTGGTGGATCAGGGTCTGATCAACCAGGCTGTTACTGCTGGCCACATGTAAACCAACATATGAACCACATGCACTGGCCAGGGAGGTTTAACATCTTTTAAGAATGAAGAAGAACAGGATGTGAGTGTGGGGGAGGTGCATGAGACATTACGTAGAATGAAAGGGGGTAAAGCAGCTGGAACTGACGGGATCATGACAGAAATATTAAAAGCAGGGGGGGATATAGAGTTGGAGTGGTTGGTATTTTTGTTTAATAAATGTATGAAAGAGAGGAAGGTACTTAGAGATTGGCAGAGAGCATGTATAGTCTCTTTATCTAAAGGGAAGGGGGACAAAAGAGATTGTAAAAATTATAGAGGAATAAGTTTACTGAGTATACCAGGAAAAGTGTATGGTAGGGTTATAATTGAAAGAATTAGAGGTAAGACAGAATGTAGGATTGCAGATGAGCAAGGAGGTTTCAGAGTGGGTAGGGGATGTGTAGATCAAGTGTTTACATTGAAGCATATATGTGAACAGTATTTAGATAAAGGAATGGGAAGTTTTTATTGCATTTATGGGTTCAGAAAAGGCATTTGATAGAGTGGATAGGGGAGCAATGTGGCAGATGTTGCAAGTATATAGAATAGGTGGTAAGTTACTAAATGCTGTAAAGAGTTTTTATGAGGATAGTGAGGCTCAGGTTAGGGTGTGTAGAAGAGAGAGAGAATACTTCCCGATAAAAGTAGGTCTTAGACAGGGATGTGTAATGTCCCCATGGTTGTTTAATATATTTATAGATGGGGTTGTAAAAGAAGTAAATGCTAGGGTGTTCGGGAGAGGGGTGGGATTAAATTATGGGGAAGCAAATACAAAATGGGAACTGACACAGTTGCTTTTTGCTGATGATGCTGTGCTTATGGGAGATTCTAAAGAAAAACTGCAAAGGTTGGTGGACGACTTTGGGAGTGTGTGTAAAGGTAGAAAGTTGAAAGAGAAGATAGAAAAGAGTAAGGTGATGAGGGTATCAAATGATTTAGATAAAGAAAAATTGGATATCAAATTGGTGAGGAGGAGTATGGAAGAAGTGAATGTTTTCAGATACAGTGGACCCCCAGTTAACGATATTTTTTCACTCCAGAAGTATGTTCAGGTGCCAGTACTGACCGAATTTGTTCCCATAAGAAATATTGTGAAGTAGATTAGTCCATTTCAGACCCCCAAACATACACGTACAAACGCACTTACATGAATACACTTACATAATTGGTCGCATTCGGAGGTAATCGTTATGCGGGGGTCCACTGTACTTGGGAGTTGACGTGTCAGCAGATGGATTTATGAAGGATGAGGTTAATCATAGAATAGGTGAGGGAAAAAAGGTGAGTGGTGCATTGAGGCATATATATATATATTTTTTTTTTTAGCAAGTCGGCCATCTCAAACCGTGGCAGGGTGTCATAAAAAAGAAAGAAAATCCCTAAAAAGAAAATACTTTCATCATCATTCAACACTTTCACCTCACTCACACATAATCACTGTTTTTGCAGAGGTGCTCAGAACACAACAGTTTAGAAGCATATACATATAAAGATACACAACATATCCCTCCAAACTGCTAAGATCCCGAACCCCTCCTTTAGAGTGCAGGCATTGTACTTCCCATTTCCAGGACTCAAGTCCGGCTATATAAAAATAACCGGTATCCCTGAATCCCTTCACTAAATATTACCCTGCTCACACTCCAACAGATCGTCAGGTCCCAAATACCATTCGTCTCCATTCACTCCTATTGAACACACTCATGCATGCCTGTTGGAAGTCCAAGCCACTCACCCACAAAACCTCCCTTACCCCTTCCTTCCAACCTTTTCAAGGACAACCCCTACCCCTCCTGTCTTCCCCTACAGATTTGTATGCGGCAGCAGCGACATCCAAGCTCCGTACTTTTCTCCAACTATCAGAGCTACCAATGCTCCTATGATGACCTAGTTACTTGCAAAACTGCACTACCCAACGTAGCACCCAGAATGACCAAAGATTACCAACAGTGAAACCTACAAATCGAATATAATAGAGATCAAAGGAAGACTGCCCACAAACCGAAAGCAAACCCCGCTCCCAGCCGAAAAACGTAACCCTAAATTTTGTATAACTACAACTTCTTTTTAAAACTACATAAATTCCTGTGTTTTTATGAGGGGCAATCTAAGAGGAAACGCCCCAAAGGGCCAGCAAAAAAAACCCCGGAAAAATCAATATAAACAAGTGTATCAAGGACCCCGGGCCCAAAACCACCCCACTAAACCAAACCCTCGGGGGCGACACCCCCAACAAAACAAAAAAAACATGGCGGCCACCACCCCACCTCCCCTTTTTTCCCCCGGATTAAACTACCAAGTGGGCCCTCTCAGGTAGGACCAACGCCCAATCCCCTAAAGTCATGCATCTCCAACTTAGCTTTTAAAAAATATGAACCCCTTCGAGAGACGCAAACAAAACAAACACCGGGGAATACACAACCCCGAGAACAAAACCCTCAGTCTTGAACAAAAGTTATCAACCCAGGAAGACTAACTGTGGCAAGCCCCATCCAGAAGCTTAGAAAAGCCATACCCAAAAAATTTAAATATCTCTTAATAAAAAGGGTTGAAGAAGCAGTAAAAAGAATGGAAGAAAAACTTAGAAAACCTTCCAGGACACTTTGCTCCCCAAAGAAGAAAAAAACTAAAACAAAAAAAAACATCGGACGAAAGTAATAGTTAACAGTCCATTTTTTTCCCCAAAGGTTTATGAACCAAAAAAACAGTAAAGAAATTACCCTTGCAGATCAAAAAGGACCAAACAAGTGTTATTGTCCCAAGCCCTGAAAAAAAAGAAGCCGGGTTACTAGGCCCCAAGGAAAAAAGTTTTTAGGGTTTAAAGATTCCACCACAGGACGGGAAAAAAAGACTTAATTATTGCATCTTTTAAAAGAAAAAAAAAGGGGTATACAAAAACGAGGTCTTCCCCAAAAAACGTCAGAACCCCCTGTATAGATTCAGAAAATTTAAAGGGCGGGAGAATAAGACACAATACCCAAAATGCTTCACACGGAGGGGGAAAAATTCTTGTTGGAAAACAAATGTAGGTCAATGTACACAATCACGAACGGGGAATGATCTATCCGATTTCTCGGGGTTTAATAATCTTACAGAGAAAAAATAAACAATGCCAACTTAAAAGCCTCCCTAGTTTAAGTGTATTTTTTTTGCCCCCATTTTTGGGTTAAAATTTCATTGTACAATCTCTTAGAAATTTAAATAATCAACTCCCTTAAAATTTTTGTGATTTTACTAGAAAGCATAATTTCCCCTTTATGTAATTTTCTTATTTACTATTGTTTGTTTAAAAACTTTAAAGTTTGAATTGATACTTTCCTGCCATTTATTTCCTCATAATTTTTTAAATTTTTTTCAATTGATATTACCTACTAAAATTAAAAATTTCCTTTCCACTATAATTTCAATTTATTTCCTTAACATTTTGACATTTAATAACCATTACTTGTCTAATTACCTTTCCCCTTTTTTAAATACCACATTTACATCATTAAGTACTTTTAAAATTACCTTTGTACTGCCATAAAAACCTCTAGAAAAAACTACCATTGCAATACTGAATGAAATAAACATTATTTTTTCCCAACTTTTTTTGTAACCCATTTTTACTTACTAAAATTTTTTTAAACACCAAAATTTACTACCAGTCAATTTTACTTTTGTACTTTAAACATTTTTTTTAAACTTCCCATAACATTTTGTTCCCAAATTTTTTTAAGTTTGTATATTTCAACCCCAAACCCTTTTATATTACCCTTTTGTCCTGTCAACCTTCTTACTACATTTAAAAACCCAAGAAATTACCATTATTCATTGTTCTTACCTGTCCTTTTAATTTTGTTTCCCAAACTATTTTTTTTTAGCACTTTTTATTGTGTGTAAATTTTAGTGTATTTTCCCAATTACTTTTTGCAAGTCCCAAA